AGGGGCCGCTGTGCTGCGGGGAAGCGGGGCTCGGGGCGCTGCAGGTGAATATGTGTTAGCCCCGCCACTCGGGGCTGCTCTCCTTGTGGGGTGGGGGGGGTTGCATGACAAAGGCCTGGTGGCAGCTAGCTCGGATCCCCTAGAAATCCATGGTCCCTCCATTGTTCCGCACGCAGCCCTGGGATCGGGGCGCTGCTGCCCGTGAGAATTGATTGCCTGGCTGGCTAACTGTGGAGTGCAATGCACGTGGGCTTAGCAATAGCATCTGGGCTGTCTTCACCCCCAAACGAGGCGTGCCGAGGTGGGTCCGGGGTTCTCCTGCGCTGGAGGGAAGGTTCGGGAGCAATCGAAGGTATTTCCAATCTTTGGTGTGTCGTTTCCTGGTGTTCCAGTCCGGCTGGGTAATATCTCCTGTCTGGTCAAACTTACTGAAAAAATTCTCAACAGCCCGAAGTCGAGCAGAGATCCACTTCAGTTTCACTAACTCCTTTCACTTTAAAACATTTGAATGTATTTTAATCCATGGAGCTGTTGCTTTCTCCCCTCCATAAGTGTGCCGTAATGAGATCTAATATCGGAGTCTGTTTTTAATTTGCTCTGTCCTGAGTCTTAGGATTTCAGATTGTATTTCACTCGTAAGAACTGTCTTTATAACTGCAAATGAGTTTAACTTTGGATCCCGGAAGCTTTCCGTGGTGTAAAAGAAAATGAATTGCTACTAATCTTCCTAGTCTCTATACATTAATCTCTGTATGAAACCTTTTCCCCATGAATAGGCTTGTTTTACAGTTTAACTTTTATATATCACCATTATCATATTTAGGTTCCCATTTATGAATGAAAACAGGAGACGTTTATATATTGTATATAAACGCTAAAATTTGGGGTTAATGTCTTAACACACTTAAATTTCTGATAAGTAAGCTAGAAATGAAAACACTAGATTTATGTGGGATGGGTACATTTTGGTTTGCACTGAGTGCTTAACGGGTCACCGCAGCGCTTTGTGCATGTTGGTTTTGTTGTCTGAATTGAATAAGTAAATGTGCATACAGAAGCAAATTCTTGTAGTCTTTTAATAGTCTGGATTTTTTTATTTAAAAGTTTTTAAACTGACCCATTCACTAATCATCACACCCACATGTATTTCATAGAAGCAATCTTTCAAGAATATTGCAATCCACAATCTTGATATTCTGGAAATATAACATATTAAGCAAAGTGATCTATTATGTCAAGCTCTTTGGTGAAAGAGTTTATTTATAAAGCAGCTAAGTTTGCTAGGCAGGATATAGGATCACTAAATACATGTCTTTGCCCTGAAAAGATTTTAGTGTCTGTCTCTCTCTCTCCCCCTCTGTGTGTATAGGTGATGAGCAATGGCATGAGAACAGGAAGATAGAAAGGGGATTAAAATAGGTCATGTGCTTATTTAGGTTTATTGCATATTTTTCTTTTTGGTGTTGCCTTGCCTTCAGTTTATTAACAGCAGAATAATAGTTTGTTGGTAACAGTTGGTTTCTCTGAAGCTTTGTCTGTTAGGAAATTTAACATTTGCTGATAATTTGTCAGTAATTGGTGCATTTGAACTGTATTGAAAAGTGCTGCAGCTTAATTTCAAGTGGCTCTTGTATACGCCAGGGGAAAATTACTAATCTGTCTAATGGCACTAATGTTGGGAGTGTTATTATACACAGCTCCAGTTTCTAAACAGCCCTTTCCAGAACCATGTTGAGGTTTATTGTGGGGAGTTTGTTGATGGAGATAAAAAAGCTCCATGAGCACCTTGCTATCATTAGGGTTCCCAGCAGGGCAGTTTTCACCAGTGATAGCACCAGTGCAAAAAAAAAAAAAAAATCTGTAAGAGTCCCTCATGACACACAGCCTGAATACTAGCTTCAGCCTGAATATTACCTTTCATATGTGTTCTTTTTTTATTGTAATTGTATCCTTTGGTATATATGGTTGTGACTATTTTCTTCCGCTATATGATCTGAGGAAGTGGGTCTGGCCCACGAAAGCTAATAAACCATCTTGTTAGTCTTTTAAAGTGCTACATGGTCCTGTATTTTGTTTCAACTAGCTACAGAGTCCTCTTTCTCTGTGCTTAGTCCCTTTCCTGTTACTGATCTGTTTTTCATTCCAGTAGCCCTACTGATCCAGCTTTCAGTGGGTACCCACTGAATCTTCAGTGGAATGTACAGATGTTAAGAAAAAATTGCTTCTCCATAAACTTACAGTCTGTCTAGACAAAGGGGGGGGGGGAATGACTGATTACACATGCAGAAGTGAGGTGATAAGTGACTTGCTGACAGTCACACAAATGCTGAGAGGGGTAGCTGCCTTGGTCTGTATCTAATTTTTTTTTTTAAATGGTCATGTAGCACCTTAGAGACTAAGCAAAAAATACAGCTAGTATCATGAGCTTTCATGGGCACAACCCACTTCTTCAGATGACAAATACAAAAAGCATGTAGAAGATGGGGAATGGAATTGACACTACTTGAATCCCAGAACCTTAACTAACAAGACCATCCTTTTTCTCTGTTCTGCTCAAACTAATGGTTACTTGTATCAGCAAGCAGCCATGTTCTTGTCTGGTCGGCAGCCAATCTGTCCTCCCTCCCTGCCATGTACTATTTTTCCCTCCACTTCTGTTGAGTTGAAAACACTATCCCTGATTCTCAGGAGAGCTAATTTTTAAAGTGTCAGCAAACCTTTCATCCCCTCTGTCTATGTAAAGGTGTTACTCTTACTTGTTCTAGCTTATTAAAAGAACAGAGTCAGCATGATATGTTGTTTCTCTGGGGCTTTGCTTTTTGTTTTTAAAAAGCAGTTACACATGCTCTTGAGTCTGTCAATTTTCAGTTTTTGTAAAAATTTAAAATGTGTTATTTCCCCTTTCTCAGCCTATCCAAATGAAGATAAAAGTACTGATTTTAAGTACTGCCCTGTGCAAGCAAAAAGATGCATTAAGATGACTAATAGAATTTTTATCATATTGTTTCTCAGGTATTCATTGTAGCAAAAATAGCCATTTAAAATGTTGACTATAAAGCACCTTAACATTAAAGAGCTCTTTTTACTGAATCATTTATGTGCATGGAGAGAAAAATGGAACCTTTAAATTAATAATTCATTTGCCTTGCTAACCATTTAAATGCAGTGCACAATGCATTATATAACAATGGTAGCCCACGAGCCAAAAACCAATTAGAGTCCTCTCTTTTCAAAAGCTTATGGAGGAAGAAGCTGGCTGAGTGCAGGATACATAAGGAAATGCAGATCCATATAGAAATAATGGAAATGTGCATTTTATACAGGGTAGTTAAAGTATTGGGGGAAAAAAAGCCACATGCGAAATAGGAGTAAAATAAATCTACAAGTGCAGTGGCTAAAACTGATAGGAGTGGAGATACACCACCAGTCTTTTACTTGGTACATAAGACAGAGATGGAAGAGATTGTATGCTGTTATCCATATAGAGTTCAAATGGCTTGATTAAATCCTGAAGGTTTGGAATCTGTAAAATGCTCTGTAGTTTGAAACTGAAACACTGCTGAGTGTTGTCCGTTAATAAACACAGCAGATAATGTTTATAAAAAATAAACTGCTAGCTTGGCACTGGAGGTGGCAATATGTTTTCAAAGTATGTACAAAACCTAAATCAATAGTTGGCATCGCCTCTTCAACATCTGGTTTATGTGTGGTAAAAGTTATGGAAAGAATGGGGACTTATGCACTGGGTTTGTGTGTTGAAAGGGATAAATGACTCATGCAGTGCTTAAACTAGGTGCAGTTGAGCATTGAAAGGAGCTTGATGCTAAACTTTTCCTTGTAGTAAATGCTTATATTCTGCCTCTGGGGGTATCGGGGAGGGATGAAGTGAAGGTAGGAAATGGCAGATAGAAACAAAAGGCCTAGCCCGGAAAAGTGGACTCCAAAAAAGATTGACAATACATAGCATCTCTGCAGGAGACACTAGGCATCTTGTATGTTTGAGCCCAAAATGGAGGCGGTGAGCGGTGTGGGAGGGGGAGAAGAAATGCTCTGTAATAGGAAAAGCTATTACAATCCCATGTAATACCTTTGGGGACTTTATAATCCCTGGCTCACCGTGATACTTATGCAGTTCCATGGACCAAAAACAGAGAAGGGTGATTAAATCAGTCAGGTTGCAAATATCTCTAGCGATCACCCCCAACAGAAGCTTGCATATACACTGTTTGAAATTGGATTTCCCCGGGACCACCAGACAAAAGGGCTATTGGCATAAAAAGGCGGTATTTAAATAGGGATACAATAGTCTAGTCGATTTAATTGATAAGCAAAAGCTTATTGGTTAATGCTGTAGACTACATGCATTCCACACACCCATCCACCATAAATATAAATATATATATATTTATTTATTTTAAAAAAGCAGGCTGACCAGCAGCCTGCCTCATTCCCAGCTTGCGCTGGGTCCAGGACCTACCTGTGCTGCGGCTCTGCATTTAAAGTATATTGGAAGTGAGGCGGGCAGGCAGACCCCTGCACTGGCCAGGAACTGCTGCCACCCTGCACTGGTAGCTGGTCCGTGAGGGGAGCGGCAGGCAACTGGTCTGCGAGGGGAGCT